CATGAAATGCTGAAAGGAAAAACAAAAATGAGATGTCAAATCAATCCTGCAGTTCGGCAACGAAGGAGGCAAAGAGGGAACGTGTGAGCTAACGGCATGAGAACTCAAAGCAGAAGGGGAGGAAGAGGAACAGGCGCACACACGTGTACACACACGTGTACACACTCACACACACACGTGTACACACTTTCTCTTGGCCCCCGCAGGCGCTGTGCCACTTTTAAGACACAGCCAGCAGCCTGTAAACCTGCAGGATTGGGTATATAAGATAAATCTGGGGGAAGAGCTTGGCTCTGTTCCCTTCCCACTCCCCTCAAAGCCACGTGGGAGCACGGATGGTTGAGACAACACGTTTCCAACGAGCAGCTGGAGGAGAAGGGAGGGTGGCTGACAAGAAGTGCCTGCTACCAGGTGAACGGGAGCCCCATGGGTGCCAGGGGCCACCCAAGAGCCCCAGGCTGCAGATCTCCAGGCAGTGGGGAGGCTGGGGGGTACAGCACCCCAGAAGGTCCCGATACTCACTGCTCTGGGAGGAGATTTTGGGCTTCCCAATGTACTTGAGAATAGGGTTGCGCTTTTTGTCTTCCATGGCATCCTTGTCCTTCTTCGTGCTGCTGCTCTGCTGGGACATGCGAGAGGAGCACTGATAAAAACACTTGTCACCACCCGAGGGTGTCCCCAACCTCTTCCACGCTGGCTGAACGCCCCGGGGAAGGGACGGGGCCGGGATCTGGCTCTGCCCTGGCACTAAGTGGCTCTCCCAGACATGACGCAGGGGGGGGAGATGGGGATCTCTGGAGTGGCCTCCAAAGATCCCACAGCAAGAAACTGGTCCTGGAGCAGAGAAGCAGCTGCCAGCAATTCACCCACCTTCTTGGTCTTGGGGAAGAAGGGCAGCCACTTGTCCCTGTCCGGGAGGGACTGGGCCTTCTCGCTGGTGCCGGCTGCCCGGGGCTCCCGGCTGCGGATGCCTGTGTGGTTCATATATGTGCTGAGGGCAAAGGCCATGGGGGAGCTGGAAGAGAGGAGAGCGTGGGGCTGGAGATCTGACCCCAGGCCAGGGGAGATGATGGGTGAGGCGGGCAGGTCCTGTGGGGCTCTGCGGGGAGAGGGTCTCCCTCCCCAGGCAAGAGAGGATGCCCAGGCTGGGTTGCAGGGCAAGTGAGATAGGAGTGAAGGCGAGAAGCAGCTCAAGAGTGTGAGCTGGGGCTGGCAGGGGGCTGCACCCAGTGCACCAGGACCCCGGGGTAAGTGTTCTCCCTTCTCCAGGGCCAGCCTGAGAGCCCACGGGGCATGGAGAGCCTGGCATGGAGAGGGGGTGCTGGAGGCCAGCATGGGAAGAGGATGCTCCTGCCACCCCTCTCCTTTTGCCTCCTCAGCTAGCCACTGTAAGGCAGTCGCATCTGGGTGTGCTCCCGCTGCGCCCCGGGGCCACTCACCTCCTGTCCTCTTCATATTTTGACCTGGAGAGAGAAACGGGGAGGGATAAAAGAGCTTGTTTGGACCAGGCTTCTCTACTCAGCTCACAGCCCCGAGCCCTTCATCTCCCTGTGCCCCCTGCTCCTCACCGCACCCCACGCTGGCTCCAAACCCTCCTTCCCACCTCTAACAGCAAATGTGTGGATCAAGCAGGATCAAGGAGCAGAGCTAAGCCTGTGCCCAACACCCTTCCCCACCTCCTCGCCCCAAATCCAGGCAGAGAGGCTCTTCCCCACGTGCGGTGCAGGGAGCCTCCGCAGCAGCCTGGCACTCACAGGATGTCGCCCAGCTGGGCCAGTTGCTTCTCGGCTACTTGCCGCTCCTTCTGGGGGTCCCCATCCAGGTCCAAGAGGTCGTTCTCCCCGTACAGACTGCCCAGGCCCATCGTGCGTTTTGTTCTGCAGAACACAAGGGTCAGGGCCACGAGAGAGGCAGGAGCCCGCCGAGCTCTGCGGAGCAGCTGGGCAGCTGCGTTACCTGTAGTCCTGGATCTGCTCCTGGATTTCGGGCATCACCATCTCCTGAGCTTCAAAGAGGGCAGCTCGGACATCATCTCCATTCCGCAGGCGAGTCTCTGGGGATAGGAGAGGAGAACCGGTGTCACCACCCATGCTCAGAATGCAAGGGAGGGCCCAGGGGATCTTCTGGCAGCCCCAGGCTCTTGGGCAGAGCTGGGACAACCTGTCTCCCATTTAACAGACACCCACCCACAACAAGACCCCAGGGACCGAGCTGGGGAAGAGCTCAGGAGCTCTAGTCCCAGACCTCGTCCCATCCTCACTAAAAGGGCAACAGTCAGAGGCCTGCAGAAGTCCTTTGGGATCCTGCTTTGGCATCCTCATGAACAGCCCCTTGGTCAGGGTGAAGGTGCCATCTGTGCAGATGGCGGGGACAGGCCCTGGCCCACGGCACACGACCAGGGAGTCCCTCACTCACCGATCTCAGCCAGGAGCTGCTCAGACACTTTCACTCGGAGAGGCTGGGGAGGGAAGGCAGAACTAAATCCCAGAATCATCTGGGTTGGAAAAGGCCTTGAAGCTGCTCCAGCCCAACCATGAACCTCCCCCTGACCCTTCCCAACTCCCCCAGATCCCTCAGCGCTGGCTCAGCCCGACTCTACAAAGCTCTCCCCTACCCCACATCCCCCACAGCTCATCCCAACGGCCCTTAAACACCCCCCAGGGATGGGGACTCCCCCCTCCCTGGGCAGCCTGTTCCACTCTCGGACCACTCTGTCTGGGAAACATTTTCTCCTCCTGCCCAGCCTGACCCTCCCCTGGGGCAGTTTCCAGCCGTTCCCTCTTGTCCTGTCCCTGATCCCCTGGGAGCAGAGCCCAGCCCCAGCCTCTCTGCAATGTCCTGTCAGGAGCTGCAGAGAGGGATGAGGGCTCCCCTCAGCCTCCTCCTCCTCACCCTGAACACTCCCAGCTCCTTCCCTGGCTCCTCACAGGATTGATTCTCCAGCCCTTCCCCAGCCTCGTTGCCCTCCTCTGCCCTCGCTCCAGCCCCTCCAGATCTCTCT